TAATAAATATCCTAAGTTATATTTACCCGAGCTATATTGTGGACATATATCAAAACATAACACGGTATCCTCATAAATGTGTTCAATTCTCATTTGTCCGCCAAAAATACTATTAGCAATTTTATAAACAAGTAGTTTGTACCCAAAATGTCCCTAAATGTTAAAGCTGGGAAACCCTGTCTTCAGTATATATGTGGGCAGGGTTTGTCAATGCCAGAGATAGACCTTGTGTCTCTAGGTGGGGAACTATTTCCCTCTGTGGGCCCCTAAGTGCCAGATAGCACTCAGATTATTGCTGTTATAGATTTCTATACATTCTCCCTCTCTCCCTCTTTCCCTCTCTCCTTCTCTCCCTCTCTCTCTCTCTCCTCTCTCCTCTCTCTTCTCTCCTCTCTCTCCTTGTCTCTCTTTCTTCAATTTACTTGAAGAGGAACTTGCAGGTTTTCTGCAGGTAGATCAATGCCTGGAGGATTTAAAATTTCCCTTTCTGCCACCTTAATAAGCATTCGTTAAGGTTTTTGTTTCTGTTTTTTTTTAATTTTTAAAATAAAATTAATAGGTTTTACTTTCAAGAGCAATTCTAGGTTTACAGAATACAGTGCTGACAATCTCAATATACCTTCATTCCACTGCACACAATACCCTCTGTGATTAGCAACTTTTATTATTTTGATATATTTGTTACAATCAATGCACCAATATTGACTTTGTCATTAAATAAAATCTATAACTTATATTATGATTTACTCTTGGTACATTCTCTGGATTTCAATGTTTTCATAATGTGAAAACTAAATGCACTAAAGCATTTTGTGGCATGGTTTTACCACTTCAACTATCCTGTTTGCTCTGACTATGCATTCTTTCTTTCACCGTGAGCTCATGAAATTCACAGTTCTCTTGCCACTTCTCTATTTCTGCCTTCTCTGAATAAAAAGGAACCTCTTTTTGGTGAAACCCACACCCCCACAATTTCATAGTGTACTATCCACAGTCCTTGACCATCTCCCTCAGATATGATCAACATTTGTATTTGTATAGTTTTATTTCTTCCTTTTCCAATGGCTGTGATACAAGGAGTGAGAATTTGTATACAATCAGCCATTAGGAAGGAACATCTTCTTGACCTGGGAGTGGCCTCTGAACTTTACTTACAGCCATCAGTAAGTAGTGAGCATGACAAAAGGTTAACAAAAGACAAACATTGTGATCAATCAGATCCAAGTTCTGATACTGACCACCCTGCTCCAGAGCTATGATGCCTTGGACAAGGGATGTGTGCTCTTAAATACACAGTTTCCTCATATGCACATGGGAACTGCAGCAGCTGCTTTCTATTGCAGTGTGAAGATTCAGTAAGAATTGCATAAGATATTCTAAGCATGGTGCCTAGTCCATAGAATTCATTAAATAAAGCATAGATATTCTTATCTGGTGCATTGTGGTTGAATTCACAGTATTTGTGCCATAGACACAACAGTCTCTGGTGTGAATAGTTTACAGTCCAGTGACAGGCACCCAGATAGTTCCAAGATGACTTGTGATGAGAAAAATTATGACAAAGTCATGGGCAATTATTTTTTACTCTGGAATTATTTTTGAGGCACCCAGAAAGGAGAAATTAAATGTATTTTGGGAAGAGGATGTCCAGGAGGATGCACAGAGGAAGTGGCATGTAACAAGAGGCTTAAACATAAACGGATTTGCCAACCGGAGAAAGGGAGGAAAGGGAATCTGGGTGGAGAAGGGTGCCAAGGCATTGCATTCTGGATCAGTAATTCTCAACTGGGTGTAGCTTTTCCTATTGTGAGGTCCATGGGGGTGCTTTCTGAAGACATTTTAAAAGATTTATTTATTTGAAAGAGAGGGAAAGACTCAGAGAAAAGGAGAAAGAAAAGTAAGAAAGGAAGCTCTTCCATCTGCTGCTTCACTCCCTAAATGGCTGCAATATCCATGGCTGTGCCAGGCCTAATCTAGGAACTAAGTTCAGAACCAGGAACTTCATTCGGGTCTCCTACGTGGGTGGAGGGGGACCAAGTACTTGGGCCAAATTCTGCTGCCTTTATAGGTGCACTAGCAGAATCCAAATCAGAAGCAAAGCAATTAGGATGTTAACTGTCACTCCAGAATTGGTTGCCAGTGTTGCAAACAACAGCTTAACCTGGTGCACCATGGTGTTAAGCCCTGGAGACCTTTTTGATAGTCATGAGTGCTAAGGAGATGTGGATATCTGGCCTATGAAGACGAAGGATACTGCTAAGTACCCAAGAATGCAGAGTAAATGCTCTGGACCCAAATGTCAGTAATCTTGAGGTTGACAAAAATCCTGTCTTAGATGTTAGACGATGAAGAAGAACTTCTTATCACAACCCACACACCAGTCTCACCCATTGGGCTTATCGTAGGCACTTGTTCCCAAGCTCTTAAATTCATTAAGATAGCAAATGATGAGACTGTGTGGGGCTGTTGAAGTCACTGGGTTGGGAAGCTATGGGAAGATGTTGACCCAGAACTGAAATCCTTAAAAGTATTTCCAGCAAGAGGTACCAATAAATGCTGGAATCTGGTACTGTTTGGTGATTTCAGCCTCTGTTAACCAAAGTAGCTATTTTCCCCCTTTGTTTCTTATCATAAACCTAAGAGGATACTTGCTACCCTTTAAATTGTTTAAAAATTATGATAAAACATGCATAATATTAAATATAACACCTAACCATTATAAAATAGAAAAATGGTTATCTGAATCTGGGGAAGTGTGGAGGGGAGGGAGTGAATGAATACCTGTTGATCAAAGGGTGCAAAGTTTTAGTCACATAAAAGAAATAGGTGTTGAGATCTGTTGAACCAAGGTGACCATTTTCCTTAATAATGTATGATGTGGCTTGAAATAATGAAGAGAGCAAAGTTTAAATGTCCCATCATAACAAATGAAAGGTAGGTGAGATACAGAATATTTATTAGCATGATTTAAGGATTCTATGTTATATACATGTATCAAAACTTTGTATGGTACCCCATAAATGCATAAAATTATGATCTCAATAAAAATAGTATTAATAATAAATATAAAAACCAAGCCACAATAAATAAAGTATAAAATTCAGTACAATTAGGTACATTTACAATGCTAGGCAATCATCACTTGGCTCCTGAAATTTTCATCTCCCCAAAAGAAAAGCCTGCACCCATCCATTGGGAGCAGCTTCTTATTCCCTCCTATCCTAAACCTTAGCAACAGCTAATCTACTTTAAACTCTCACAAACACATTCACTTAGCACTAGTCACAAACTAGTCACAACCTAGTGACAACCCAAACACTAAAGACATATCCATATAATAGGATAAATTGTTTGGTCATAAAAAGGAATGAGGTGCTGATTCATGCTAAAATGTGAATGAATCTTGGAATAAAATGCTGAGTGGAAAAAGCTGGACACAAATCTCACACATAATAAGCACATTGGTGGCTTACTGTTTTAAACTTTACATTGCTGAATTTCAAAATAGTAATTTAGTTTTAGTGAACTGATTCACAAAGACATATCAAAATCTCATTACATTAGGTTCCTTACTGAGTACAAATCGTGTATGATAGTTCTTCAAAAGTTGATAAAAATGAAAATAAAGATATGTCATCTTGGTGCAAAAATTTTTGAAATTTTTGCATAGTTTTCTCATAATGTACATTTTCCATGAAGGTTTTGAAGAGATGATATGCAAGGATCTCAATTTCTGTGCACTGAAATAAACTTAATTTTTATATTAATTTTTTAAAGTACCCTCATATGTTTGTTTACTATATTGATTTATGGAATGTAGCACTTAGTGCCATTTCATCTCCAAAGAGTAAGCCATTTATTTCTCACAACAACCAGTGAGATGGGAAGATAAAAATGGAGGAGAAAGAGGTGAAGAAATTTGCTAAAGATATACAGTGGACAGAAAATAGACTTAAAGTCAGATCTTCTGACTTTTATGTCCCTGTCTTTTATAATTGTGTTGTTTTCCTTCAGAACACACAGATGTTTCTCATGTGAAATGGAAAACAGCCACTGTAGTATTTCTGTCTCCTTTGATAGAAGCACAGAGATTCTGTCCCTGATTTCCTACATATATAGTTCCAAAGGAATTCTCTGATTTGGGTTGAGTTAAGTTAGATATGCCCCTGGATAAAAGATGTTTTAGCTTGTGAAGGATATCTCGTGGTATCTGAAGCTACGGGGAACACAGGATTTATCACTGGGGAGTAGAAGGAAAAACAATTCTTGTAAGCTCCAGCAATGTTTGGGAGGAATATTCTTTCTTCAGAGGATCAATATATTAGGATAATTAAGAATATAGCCTTTGTGGTCTATCCAGCCATTAATTCAAATCTTGGATGTAGCATTTCTTTTTTTTTTTTTTTTTTTTTTTTTTTTTTTTTTTTTTTTTTTTTGACAGGCAGAGTGGACAGTGAGAGAGAGACAGAGAGAGAAAGGTCTTCCTTTTGCCGCTGGTTCACCCTCCAATGGCCGCCGCTGCAGCCGGCGCACCGCGTGGATCCTGGAAGGAGCCAGGAGCCAGGGGCTTTTCCGGGCCTCCCATGGGGTGCAGGGCCCAAGCACCTGGGCCATCCTCCACTGCACTCCCTGGCCATAGCAGAGAGCTGGCCTGGAAGAGGGGCAACCGGGACAGAATCCGGCGCCCCAACCGGGACTAGAACCCGGTGTGCCGGCGCCGCAAGGTGGAGGATTAGCCTATTGAGCCACGGCGCCGGCTTTGGATGTAGCATTTCAACAGATTCATTCTTTCAAGGTTCCTAGATCCCTACACCCCGATATTCTTACTGAATTTATTCCAGACACTCAAAATGTGGGGTAAAACTAGTATATTCCTTACTAGACTGATGACAGGATTAACCACTTATCCAGAACAACTTCTTGGGCACGTTCAGAAACTGGTGACCTTTCCACACATGGTAGCTGACCTCTCCCTCTTCCCCACTCTAGGCACAGCCTCCATGCAGGGAGCCAATTACTCAGAAGTTACTGAATTCATCCTCATTGGCTTCTCCACCTTCCCCCACCTTCAGATGATGTTCTTCCTGCTGTTCCTGCTGATGTACCTGTTCACGCTGCTGGGTAACCTGCTTATCATGGTAACCATCTGGAGTGAACACAGCCTGCACACACCCATGTACCTCTTCCTGTGTGCCCTCTCCATCTCTGAGATCCTCTACACTTTTGCCATCATCCCACGCATGCTGGCTGACCTGCTCTCCATCCATCACTCCATCACTTTCTTGGCCTGTGCAAACCAGATGTTCTTCTCCTTCACATTCGGCTTCACTCACTCATTTCTACTCACTATCATGGGCTATGACCGCTACGTGGCCATCTGCCACCCCCTGCGCTATAACATGCTCATGAGCCCCCAGGGCTGTGCCTGCCTGGTAGCCTGGTCCTGGGCTGGTGGCTCAATCATGGGAATGGTGGTGACAACAGCCATTTTCCACCTTACCTTCTGTGGACCTAATGAGATCCACCATTTTGCTTGCCATGTGCCACCTCTCTTGAAGTTGGCCTGTGGAAATGGCGTACCAGTAGTAGCCAAGAGTGTGGGTCTAGTGTGTATCATGGCCCTGCTTGGCTGCTTTCTCCTCATACTACTCTCCTATATCTTCATTGTAGCCACCATCTTGAATATCCCATCAGTTGAGGGTCGACACAAAGCCTTCTCCACCTGTGCATCCCACCTCACTGTGGTGGTTGTGCACTATGGCTTTGCCTCTGTCATCTACCTCAAGCCCAAGGGTCCTCAGTCTCTGGAGGGTGACACCTTGATGGGCATTACATATACAGTCCTCACTCCATTCCTCAGCCCCATCATCTTCAGTCTTAGGAACAAGGAGCTGAAAAATGCAATGAAAAAGACTTTCCTCAGCAAATTCTACCCAGAAAAAATGTAATGATCTGAGATAAACTACTTGGGAAAAACCAGGTTGGGTAACCAAATTCTATTAGAAATGACACCTCTGTTAGAAATGAGCATATACTAAGTTATGTTTGATGCTTTAAGGTTTATAGCAACATTTGTTGACTACCCACAAATGTTTTCACATGATTAATCAACATCAGAGATTTATTTGGAAAATAGGGATATATGAAATAATAACCCAGAAAATAATAATTGATTATTTCTACCTGCAGCAGGACACATTCTCAATTAGCTACAAACCTGGAATCTGTTTTCCTCCTGCTGAAACTCAAGGCCATCTACTACTGCCAACAATACATACCCATAAAGGAAAAAAATAGAAGACTTCATGCCCTACTTTCTTTTTTTCTTTTTTTGACAGGCAGAGTGGACAGTAAGAGAGAGAGACCAAGAGAAAGGTCTTCCTTTGCCATTGCCGTTGGTTCACCCTCCAATGGCCGCTGCGGCCGGCGTGCTGCAGCCGGCGCACCATGCTGATCCGATGGCAGGAGCCAGGTACTTATCCTGGTCTCCCATGGGGTGCAGGGCCCAAGGACTTGGTTCATCTTCCACTGTTTTCCCAGGCTATATCAGAGAGCTGGATCAGAAGTGGAGCACCTGGGACTCGAACCAGCACCCATATGGGATGCCAGCACTGCAGGTGGTGACTTTACCCACTACACCACTGCACCAGCCCTTCACTCTCTTCTTAAAATAGGTCTAGTAGGTCCTAACAGCAAGGAAACTGATCTTTCTCCAAACATCCTAACATCCTTATAAAATTTTCTGGCACAGGAGGGCAAGTGAAATTTATTATATAGTGGACGATACATCCTTGGAATAGTGATGGAATGTTTCTATAACTCATAATCTTTTGTTACTATAAAATAAGGTTTATTCTTTTTTTCAAAGATTTATTTTATTTATTTGAAATACAGAGTTACAGAGAGAGGAAGAGACAGAGAGAGAGGTCTTCCATATGCTGGTTCACTCCCCAGATGGCATCAACAACTGGAGCTGCACTGATCTGAAGACAGGAGCCAGGAGCTTCTTTCAGGTCTCCCATGAGGGTGCAGGGGCCCAAGTACTTGGACCATCTTCTACTGCTATCCCAGGCCATAGCAGAGACCTGAATTGGAAGAGGAGTAGCTGGGACTAGAACCAGCGCCCATATGGGATTCTGGTGCTTCAGGCCAGGGCTTTAACCTGCTGTGCCACAGCTCCAGCCCATAAGATTTATTCTTATAAGGATTCCCCAGTAATTTCTAAGCCTTGAGCTAAAGCATTCCCCTTCCCAAGCACCAAAGCTAATTTTGGAAAGAATGTAAGTTAAACTGTTGAATTTTCTTAATGAAAAATCAACCTGGCCTCTAGTCCCACTGGCACCTAATGTAGAAACTAGTTGGGTTCACATTTTAGGTCAAACACTGGGTTCTCATGCTACCTTTTTGTGTTCTTTGAGCTACTTAGTTCATGAGCTCATGACATTTGATCACCTCCCTCAATATCACACCTAATGCCAATATTGTACTTGAAACATAAAAGAAATTCTTAAGAAATATTTCTAAGATGGACAAATTTAAACTCCACATGTTATGGATTGAAGAGAATTTGGCTACCCAAAATCTTAAAGACATTAGTAGTTAGTGGATTAATGCTAATGGTTAATCAATTAGGGTGAAGACTTGATCTAGTTGCAGTGGTTAAGAAGTGGGTCTAATGGAAGGTCTATAAGTGACTGGGGGCTTTCCCTTTAAAGGTAACCTCATGAGCATGCTAGTTGTTTAAGCTGAAAATGCCCTAGTTTCTCTATCGGCTTTCTGGATCACCACGTGTTCATTCATCCACATTGACTCCACCATTACCAGCCTCCACCAGATGACAGATTAATGGGGCTACTTGATCTTGACCTTTTTTTAAGATTTATTTATTTATTTGAAAGAGTTACAGAGAGAGAGAGAGAGAGGAGAGGCAGAGAAAGAGAGAGAGGAAGAGAGAGAGAGAAAGAGAGAGAGAGGTCTTCCATCCGCTGGTTCACCCCCCAAATGGCCGCAATGGCTGGAGCTGCGCCCATTTGAATCCTTGAGCCAGGAGTTTCTTCTGGTTCTCCTCTGCAGGTGCAGGGGCCCAAGGCCTTGGGCCATCTTCTACTGCTTTCCCAGGCCATAGCAGAGAGCTGGAGCAAAAGTGGAGCAGCCGGGTCTCAAACTGGCGCCCATTTGGGATGCTGGTGCTTCAGGCCAGGGCATTAACCCGCTGCACCACAGCGCCAGCTCCAATCTTTGAATCTCCCAACTGCAAACCAAACTTTTCTTTCCCAAGAGGCCCCTCTCATGTATTTCATTTACAGTAGCAATATGGGAACTAATACATCATAATATTGAAGCCAAAATGTTGAATCTTGTTGACATCCAGCGAAGTGGAAAATCCATTTGACTCAGACTCACCTGGATTAAAAATCCTGCCTCCTGATAATATCTTCCACCTGATTATATTGACAAGCTATAGGTGTATTCCATATCTGTGTAAACAAAATGATGTTATAAAAGTGACATTTATGATTATAAAACATTAGTTATAAATATTGATAAAGAACCATTGAATAAGTGTTGGTTCACTCACACAGTGGAATGCAATGCAGTCATTTAAATTATTCTGTGCTCTACTAGAGTCCCTATAGTCCTTGGAAGTCCCACCCAGTTTCATGGATTTATGTACTATCTTTATATTTATGTCTTCAAATCCGTATCATTATCCCTTTCCAATTGCCTACTCCACATGAATATGCAATAGACATCTTAAATTTATTGTGTCCAAATATATAACTCTTGAATATTCTCACGAACATTTGTATTATCTGTCTTTTTTAGACATCTTTCCTTTGACAATCTTTGCTATCTCATAAAACAACTAATCTCACTTTCTTGGAAAATTTCTCCACTCTTCCCTTTCTTTTATCTTATACATCAGCAAATCAAGGCTGACTCTCAATTCAAACTATTTCCGGAACATTTCTCTTCTCACTATCTACTATCCTAGCTAGTATAGTACCTAACTATCTTGTATCACCTGGATGGTTTCTATTTTTTTTAAGATTTATTTATTTGAAAGGCAGAGTTACAGAGAGGGAGGGAGGGAAGGAGGGAAGGAGGGAGGGAGGGAGGGAGGGAAGGTGGAAGAGAGAGAGAGAGAGAGAGAGAGAGAGAGAGAGAGATGTCTTTCATCTGCTGTTTCACTCCCCCAAATAGCTGCAATGGTCAGAGTTGGGCCGACATGAAGCCAGGGACCTGGATCTTCTTCTTCCTGGTTTCTCATGCAGGTGCAGAGTCACAGGACGTGGGCCATCTTCTACTGCTTTCCCATGCCATAGCAGAGAGCTGGGCCAGAAGTGGAGCAGCCAGGACTCGTACTGGCAGCCATATGGGATGCCAGCACTGCAGGTGGTGGCTCTACCTGGTACATCATCGCGCTGTCTCTGGATGCTTTCTAAATATGTTGAGTTGATAATCCTTCTTCTACCCCTCCTCCTGCACACTACATTCTCAATGAAGAGAGAGATATAAGTTGTTTAAATTTTCCTCTACCCAGAATATTATTATGGAGGGAGTCTAAGATGATTGAATAGGCAAAAGATGTACTGCTTTAGATGAGTTGAAAATAGCAGAAGAAAAGCGGAGGACGTGCATTCCCAGGGGAGAGTTGGATAGAAGTTTGCAATTGAAATTCTACAGAAGGAAGAGAGCTATAGTGGAGTAGCATGGAAGGTGCAGACATGTGCAATGAGTGGAGAAACCACGGATGACCCCCCCAAAAGCCAGGAACTGTAGGGGGTGCCAGCTTTGGGGAGCAAGGTGAGAGTAAACTGTGGCATCCCAAGCCACTAGTGTTATTGCCTCAGAGAGAGCCTTGCAAGCCACATTGTCTTTAAGTCTTTCATGGATTCCTAGCAGGGGTCAGGTTATCTGCCTAATTTAATGAAATACTAGCAGGTTTCATTCTCTACATCCTCTGACAAGAACACCCAGCAACTCTTGGGGGGAAGGCACCATTTTGACACCAGCAGAGGCTGCAGTGGCTATTGCACATGCTTGCAACCAGAGGATTCTCCCAGAGGGGAAAAAGGGGAAAAAGTTAAATTTCCCATAGTCTGGACTATGATGTGCTCCCAGCCTCTCAACATATTCCAGGCTCTGAGGTTTAAATGGCCAAGGTGGAGTACACATAGGAAGCTAGCTATGGATGTCTCTGCTGCTTTCTCCATGGACAGGACAAGCTCAGTGTGGAGAGGATCCTCTATATTCCACGGCTGTGGGAATCTTTTGTGCTATGATATGAGAACTCTTGACTGCATGATAGGTGAAAAGGTGTAGCTGGGTCTCTAGACACTGTCTTGTGTTAGAGACTCAGAGCTCCCTGACTACCTGGGGTGGGTCATTACAGAGGGTTCTGTGCTCACACTGAGGACTACAGATACCCTTTGGGTGGTTCATGTGGCATCAGGGATGAGGGTTGCACCACAGTGGGTTAACCTTGAGCATTTATAACCTTGGAAGAGAGGAGGTGAGAGTGTGATTATGGCAACAGAAATGATCATAACCTTCCTCATGCTGACAATTAGAGAACTACCGTGCCCAACATAGGTGTCACCGTGAATGCTCACCCCACACTGGAGCACTAACCAGAGCTCCCTGGCCACACCCAGCAAATGCTTCTAGGTATTCAGTAAAACAGCAGACTCTCCAAGAACCCAGAAAGTCATAGTTCAAAGGTAAAATCCATCAGAGGAGAAAACCAATAGGAATTTCCACAAATGCCTAAAAATAAATGCAGAAATATAAGAAACAAGAATATGGAAGACAACATGACTCCCCCGAAGGAAAATAATCACACTTCAGTATTAGAATATGAAGACGAAAAGACTGATACCATGCCTGAAAAGGCATTCAAAACAATGACCATAGGATTACTCACAAGCAATGAGAAGCAAATTCATGAGTTCAAGAAATTCATACATGACATGCAGAAAAAATTTTCCCATGAGATTGAGATTTTAAAGAAAAATCACCAAAAATATTAGAAATGAATATGTCAAAAATACAGTGGGAAGTCTTAACACCACACTTGGTGTGGCAGAAGAAAGAATGTCCAAGATGGAGGACAAACCCTTGGAAATATCTCAATCAGACCAAAATTGAGCTGCAGTGCTGGCCAGTAAACTGCTTTTTTTTAACTTTTATTTAATGAATATAAATTTCCAAAGTACAGCTTATGGATTACAATGGCTTCCCCCCCATAACTTCCCTCCCACCCAGTAAACTGCTTTTAAAAACTTTATTTTTATCCAGCGCCACAATGCAATAGGCTAATCCTCCACCTGCAGTGCCAGCACCCCGGGTTCTAGTCCCTGTCGGGGTGCCAGATTCTGTTCCGGTTGCCCCTCTTCCAGGCCAGCTCTCTGCTGTGGCCTGGGAGTGCACTGGAGGATGGCCCAAGTCCTTGGACCCTGCACCCGCATGGGAGACCAGGAGAAGCACCTGGATCCTGCCTTCGGATCAGCATGGTGCACTGGCGGCAGTGCACCGGCCGCAGCGGCCATTGGAGGGTGAACCAATGATAAAGGAAGACCTTCTCTCTGTCTCTCTCTCTCTCACTGTCCACTCTTCCTGTCAAAAAAAGAAAAATTATTTTTAAAGATTTATTTTATTTATTTGAAAGAGCTACAGAGAGAGGTAGATTCAGAGAGAGATGTCTTAAATTTGCTGGTTCACTCCCCAAATGGCCGCAACGGCCAGAGCTGCACTGATCTGAAGTCAGGAGCCAGGAGCTTTTTCCAAGTCTCCTACATGGGTGCAGGGGCTCAAGGACTTGGGCCATCTCCCACTGCTTTCCCAGGCAATAGCAGAGAGCTGGAGCAGAAGAGGAGCAGCCTGCTAGAACTGGCATCCATATGTGATGCTGGTGCTTCAGGCCAGGGCTTTAACCCACTGTGCCACAGCATTGGCCCACAAACTTTATGTTTTAAGATGTATTTATTTATTTGAAAAGCAGAGTTACAAAGAGTCAAAGGCAAAGAGAAACATCCTCCATCTACTGGTTCACTCCCC